AATATCAGATAGTTTCACTTATAGGAGGAATATAGGGGAACCAAACAAAAGGTAAGAAAAAAAGACAAAACTTGTAGGCAAATTATAGATCTGAGGCACAAAGCAGGGGAGGGGGAAGAGGAACCAAAATGGGAGGGAAGCGCACAAGGGACTATGGTGACAGTTCACAGGTGATGTGGTGATGGGAGATTTATGGGGACTACACCTGAGGGGAGAAATCTAATATTGTACAAAAATGAATGATGATGTAAGAAAATAAAAAAGTTTGGGGGTGGAAGGTGTGAGAGGACCCTGAGAGAGAAAGGGAAGTTTCCAGAAATAAATGATGCTACCTTTCAAACTGTTATTGCACAACTGAGGAATACCCAGGGACCACCAAACTTGCATGCTCTAAAGGGATCCAGCCATCTAAGTGGGTAAAGGCAAATGAGACTTAGTGTAAAGGAACTTAAAAAGAATTTGTGTGCATAGCAAGAAAAGAAGAAAGTTCACTGTTGATTTTGATTTTCACTTTATTATAATTAGGTTTTTTTCCTGGTCCCTTATTTAGGTTTTCTGAATTCCTGCTATCAGTGAGACCATCCGATATTTTTCTTTTCTTTAAACCAGAGATACACTACGGCAGGGGATAAGAGGGAGTAGGATCAAACAAGGGGGGTGGGAATTATATGGGGAATATAACCAAGATGAAAATGCATACATTGTGCAAAAAAGAAAAATGATGTAAACAATGTATAAAATAAAAATTAATTAATTTTTAAAAAATTCCTAATAAGTTTCCCCAATAAAATACCCCAAATTACACATCATCATATAGGTAAAAGCCCAGCTAAACAGGGCAGCTTGCCACAAGCTAAGAGACCCTCTGAAGGGGAAATTAGGAAAGTAATTCTGAAACAGATCCCAGAAAGCTGAGACAAAAGGAGCAAAATTAAAGTACCATCAAGATAATGTCAGCCTCACCACATGTGGCTCACCCACATGTCTTTGCATATCTTTCCTCCATGTGTCTCTTCCATGTGTCTTTCCCCACAGTACCAGGATATACATGGGGCAGCAGGATTGAGAGAAACCCCTTGCAGCCCACCTGCTTTTGTGTTACTTAGCTTTACCTGGCTGGTCAACTCCATCCACTAGCTCCCAATAGCTAGTCCAAGGCAGCTGCATGTAAATAGGTATGGGGGACATGGTATCTCCCCCTTTTATGAAGATTCCTCAGTAACAAATTTGCCTCTGCAGAGGTATTCAATTAGAATGAGTGGTTCTTGCAACATGGCCACTGGGGTGAATGCTCGGTACTGAGCGGAGACCTGGAGTGAAATATGCTGCTTGTGCATATCATGCAGGGATCCAAGCATGTGGACAACCTCCACAATTAGAGGCCCTCATCAGTTAACACTACTCCTGGTGTGCACTAAATAAACACCTTTTTCCCCACAATTTGTTTTTGTTAAAAATGCTCTGTTCTATTAACTCCAATACCTTGAAGTTTACAGAGGTGTCAAGAAAAAGAACTGGAAAGAAAATCCAAAGGTTGGAGTCTGATTTGATTCCACTACTAATTTAATGTGTGAGCAACTCTGAGTATGTCTCAACCTCTTTAGAATACTGAATTAAATATTACATGTATTTATTATTTATGGTTGAGACTTTTCCTAATTTGCTTCACTCTTTGGCATCTGCTTTTTAATACTAAAAGAAAAAAAACAAAAAAAAAAAACCACCCACAGGTCTTGGAAACTTTCTCCTGATACTGAGTTTAATTTTCTTGCAGCCAAACTATATGTAACATCACTTGAAGTAGTGACTCGCACTATAGTTTCGCCAGTGTGTATATGTGTGGATTCTGATAATTTTATACTCTGTAGGGAAGGAAAATGCAACTCAAGTTGAGAAAAAAAATCGACAAAAATGTTTCTTTAAAACTGTTACAGAGACCTTTGTTAAGGCTTGAGTTTGAGGGAACACTAAGGTGTTTTAAAAAAATGCCAGAAAAATAGGGTAAAAACTCAGGCTTACTAGTCAAAAAGACCCAGATTGAATCCTTGGTTCTACTAACTGCTAGTTAAATGACTTTTACACAATGGTAAATTAGGATAACATCAAACTTGCATATTAGATTTTCTATTGTGATTAAAAATAATGTAATAAAGTCTTTGTACTTATAAATAAATTAATAAACAGTGCCTTAAATGTGGTGATGGTTGTGATTACTGGGGGCAGAGAGAAAGCAAAAGAGGAGACCAAGCCTTTGTTCCTGTAGCAGCAAAGTCTTCCTCAGCTCTGAAGTCTTTCAAGAGGGACTAGCAGTCTGCCATTTATTTCCAGAATTTCAAATCCTATCCTCTGGCTTGTTTGCAATAGAGCACAGCATACCCTTTAAGGTGCCAAATTGTATGCCATGAGCATCTTCTGAATGTTGTTTCCCAATTTGGAACAAAAAAAAAAAAGACAAATCTTCCCATTTCTGTGACCTGAAATGAGGCTGATCATAGCTGTAACCCTAACAATAACAATAGTAATTTAATATTATTATTATTATTATTATTAATTTTGGAATCGTTGCTAAACAATCCAGGCACAGTACTAAATCCTTTATATATATATATATATATATATATAAAAAACCTTATTTAATCTTTCATCAATGTTGTAAGGTAGGTATTATTACTCCATTAAAAGTTAAGAATCTTAAGGCTCAAAGAGGTTAATCATTGAAAGAGCCAAGATTCAAACCCGCCAGTTTCTTCACTACTCTATTCTCTTTACATAATGCACTAAAATACTTAGCCTTGTTAATACTTAACCCAGACTCCCCAGCTGCTAAGAATTTATGATAATTGTATAATTAGAATTTCAAATTTAGGGCAGTGACTGAGAATTATTATACTTCATTATGTGACCTTACAAAAGTATTTACTATAATAAAGTTGTCTGCACTATCTTTTGGAGAAGACTACAGTCTTCTTAAGCAGAGTCACACATACACACAGAAAAGAAATATGAATGAGACTGCATTCTCAACCAACAAGAAGGTACTCAAATTAAACAATTGTGAATAACATCACTGAAAATCTATACACAAGTACCACGAACAATTGTATGCATCCTGAACAATTGTATGCATCCTACAAGTTATATGCATCCTACAAATATTTTTAAATTTAATCCTCACAAAAATTCTAAGAAGTGGATACTATTAAAACACCCATTTTAAAAATGAGGAGACTCAGACGAAACATAAATAACCTGGAAGAGTTAAACATTCAGGACAGGAAAAGGTCTCTCATAGGTAAAGAACAAAGAAAAGATGCAAATCCAAAAATGAATCATTCTTCATTTTTCATTCAAAACAATAGCACCAACATACCAACACTGGAGTCGTGTCTTGGTGGAGTGATATTGATTAACTCACAAATAAATCCTTTGTATATCCCAAATACTGTGAACATCAAACCACTGAGCCAAAGTCAATGATCCCTTTTATTTTGCTAAACTATAGTCTTCTGAGGTCCCAGACAATACAGAAATTGGGGCTATTCTTGTCAACATTTGGGCGTAGACTGCCACCGTAGTTTTCTACCCCCCTGGAGTTGTTCTTCATGAAACCCATCACCTAGATTTCATAATATATTTAATTAGTCCTTCGTTCTTTCTTTTCTCATAAAACTCAACAAATTGGTTTTGAAGTCTTCATTTATGGAACACACACTTTTATTTATGTAATTAATGATACACATTAAGTCACCTGACTATTCCATAGTTAACCTTTCTCTTACCTCTTTAAATGAATCCATACCTGCTTGTGCTACTTTTATTTATTATTTTTTTAAAAGATTTATTTTTATTTATACAAGAACCAGGGTACAGGCCAGAGGTATAGGAGCGTGAGAGGATTCACCAGAGACAGAGTGGGGAACAGAACAGGCAGACTGACCAAAATACACCGCCGAGGGGAGCAGCGGGAGAGAAAGGAGAGGACTGCCACGCCATGTGGGTATCTCCGAGGCCAGCAGGGATCAAACCAGCACTGCAGAGGCTGCGGACAGCTTCACAGAGCTCCACTCAACCGCCTGTGCCACCAGGGAGGCTCTGTGCTACTTTTAAATGAGTAGAATTTAGAAATTTAATGAATAGAAAAAAACCTGTTCTTCCTTTATTTTAGAGACCAGCAGTTTCAAATATAACCAATGAGGTCTTGAATCTGTGAGGTCCCTGCTTGCCTTTTCTAATTCTTAACTGGATCACATGGTTCCAATAATATGGGACACAGCCTGAGTAGTGTTCAAATCCAGCCTTTGAAAATGAAATAAAACAGATTTTAAAAATTAGCTAATTGCCCTTCTCTGTTTTCCGAGACATTGCACTAGCCTTAATACACATGTTTCACAAATATAAACACTAAGTGCTTTACTAAAAGCTGGGCATCGTGCTAGGCACCGGGGATACAAAGATGAAGACACAAAGAACTGATCAAGCTAGGGACCTAAGCCAATCAGCTGACTGTCATCTCGGGATTCTAGATTCGGTGTCATAATTTATCACTCAGATTCTGTTCCAGTGTTTCTGTGACTTGGCCTGCATTGTCCTCTTCTGAACCCTAACCTCTCCTCTTCTGCCCTTCCCCTGCTGAACTAGAATAAAGGTCACTTGGAATGGAAGCAAAATTCAGCTGTTACCAAAGGCACAAAGATCAAAGTTGGCAGCTACACTGAAGTTCAGGATTAAGAGACGTCCTCTTTAAGATCAAAATTCCAGATGATCCAAATATAGGCAAATGAGCCCCAGTAGAACACTCAGCTTTCTGTGCTGAATCCAGGAAAGGAGCAGAAATCACCATAGAAGCAACTCAGTTTCACTCTCTCCAACCCCGTGGGCTCGATGCTAATTGCCTACCCCAACAGTGAGATCGCATTTCAAAATATGGTCAAACACAAAACAGCCAAGTCAATCAAGCATTAAGTATTCAAGCACAATTATCCCAACACATGCCCAAGTACCAGCAGTGAAGCAGCTTAATTTGGGAGCGGCTCCGTAATCATCTCTCTGGGCAGCTGAGATTTTAACCTCTCCCCTCAGGCCTCCTGTTCAGGCTGCAGGGCTGGCTCCCTCCATGTGAGCTGGCACCAAGGAGAGTTGCTGCCCCCGAGTAGGGGCCTCATTTAAATGCCTGCTAAAGGTGGGGGAGGGGAGGGCAGAAGGTCCACAGAAGTCCCCATTGTTGGGGAAAGAAGTGTGGGAGCAGATGGTGAGGCTGGTCACTCAGTCTGGCTGTCAGACACCCTCTGTCAAGTTCCCCTGGGGTTGCTTAGCTTTTCCCTCTTCACTGGGGTGTGTGCGTGTGTGTGTGTGTGTGTGTGTGTGTGTGTGTGTGTGTGTGTGTGTGTGTGTGTGTCTCAGTATAAGCCAGGGGTTTCTATTTTTTTTTTGCCCCTCAGACTTCTAGGAGGCTGAGTTGCTTCATCCTCACCCCACTTCTTTTTGCTTTCTCTACTTTTTTCTGGACCAGCTAGTTCTGAGCCCCCAAGGGCCTACTGGATGGAGAGAAAAGCCAGCTATTTCCTTTGTCTCTAATTGATGCTGAGCTCTCCTCCAGCAGCTTCTGGACTGGCATGCTCACTCGGTTATTTAACATATTACTCCACAGTCCTCATTAGGATTATTGACATTTATAGCTAACCATCCCCTGCAGTTAGGGGCCCTGTGGTAACTGACTTTCATAGACTTCTTCCTCTTTTTATTTCAATCCTGCAATGAGATGAGGAGACAGACCCTCAGTGTTTTAGTTTGGACTTACACTCACCATTTGTAATAATATCAGAGTCTAAAAATATGAATAAAGCACAGGTTACAGATGTGACTCTTATTTGCATCCATAAGAGACAAACAGAGTCAGCCTTCTTATATATAATTCTGTTTCTAAAGTACTAGCTGTAGAACATAAATCTTGGCCTCAAAACCACCTGCTCCCTTTTAAGATTCTACACAGCGTATGTGATGGCAGTTATTCCTTGCAGTTCTTAGTTAAGATTTTCTCCAGCTCAGGATGTTGTTATATTTGTTTTAGTTTTTAAACCCTACTGGCAGTCACATGCTCAATGATGAGGCCTCTGTGAGTGAGAAGAAGTTAACATCAACCCAGAGGGGCAGGTGTCCAGGGTTGGGTGGCAAAGACAAAGTTAGAAATATTACTTATACTCCCTCATCTGCCTGGGATTCATCTTTTCCTCCCCAGGACTATTCTCTGCACATAGATGCTTTAATTTTTCATTTTCCATTCATCAATATAACTTCAGTTTCATGTTTATGTCCCCATAATAGGGAAAGTTATGAACATAGAGATTGTAGTATTCATATTTATCAGTTCAGAATTTAATATTTCCTACTGCATCAGAGCAGCTCAATGCACAATGAATTAATGAAGGAATAAAAGAAATTATAAATGGTAAAACTTAACAAAGGGAGTATGATGAAATATGAGAGAAGAATGTCTAAGTGTCAAGCATTTCCTCTGTACTCCAACTATTCCAGATATTCCTGTAAACTACAGGGTAAACCACAACATTTTATTTGGAAATGTTGTGCTATGAAGGATTAGAAAGAAAACCTGAATCACTAAATCATCATGGTCTAAAAATATCAAAGAATTCTAACTGCTTAAATATTAATGACCTGTGGAGACACATTCAATATTGGCAATTTACACAAATAGTTTTGCAAGAAGTGCAGTGGGCACACCTGTAGGGGATGTGACAGGCCTCTGGACCCCACCCAGTCCCCTGTTTGAAGCTTTTCAGATAGTCTGCTTGCAAAAGTAAAAGTTGGGGATTCTTTTAGTACTGCCTTTGTGCTCAGAATACACAGTGGGACTCAGAAAGGAGGTGAGGCCATCTCTCCCCCCTTAACAGCATAATCCCAGGCCCTTGAGGATCACAGCTTTCAGAGCATCAGGAAATAGTGTCCTTGGCACCAACACCAAACTTCTTCAGTGGGTACTGAAGCAACAAGACACCATAAGTGGCTTCCTAACACATTAGTGTAGATGGGGAACTGGAGAGAATGGAAAAGGAAGATATGGACTTATTCCAATGGAAGAAAGAACATTACACAAATACCCCCCAGGGAAAGTGAAGCATTGATTGAAAATTTGAAGTCTAGGTACCCTACTTTAACAGAGAGCAGTAATAGCTAGAACATAATAATTATGCACACTTGAACACATCCTTTTATTTTCACTGCATTTAGACATGAGCACCAGAAAACCCATCCTGCTAATATAACATTGAAGCCTCCAATTTGAAATCAGAAAAAAATGCTTAGGAATAGGTATCTCTTTAATATGTGTTCTATCATTTTTCTAAGAAAAGTCCCACTAATCTATTCAGTCTTCTATTTGTTTCTTTAAAAAAAAAAAAAAAGTTATTGTTCGAACAAGAATTAAAGAGACTTTAAAATCAGATCAGCAAATGCATTACAGGCACACTGCCATCATCCCTTCCCATGCCCTTTACAGACATTGCTAATCAATCAAGGTCTTGATTATAGCCTTAGAATCCTGCTAAAGCACAATATACTAACTGCCTCTGCCCAAAATATATGCTGGTATTAGAGTTACCCTTACTGTTTTCACTTTAAGGATAATAATCACATATTCCAAAAATTACACCACAGGAAATGAGGAGGTAGTGAAGAGGCACCATGATCTAGCATTTACTATCAAAAGGACTTATCTACCATTGTCAGGAACTGTGGCGGTTTCCACAGTCACGGGATACAGTCTATGGGGTTAGGATCAGACAGCACCATGGGAAGAAGAGATTTTACAGATGGCAACCTGACCTATCTGCACTCATCTTGGTATGAGAGTATTGAGTTGCATTGGGAAACTGAAGAGGCCTAAGACAATGTCTTAGAGAAGTAGTTCCTGAGGATTAGCAGGACAGAGGATAGGAATGGGAAGTCCATTCTCCTTGGCCATCTTTTCCTAGAAGGGATGAGGGAAAGAACAGGATCTCATTTCTTTTCATCTGGGACAAGCATTTTATAATATGGGAAGGCCCTCAGTCAGTAGGCCACAGCCTAAAGAATGTCACTAGCCAGGAGCATCTTTCCAGCCTTTTCTTCACACTGCCTAGAATAAGAAATAATGAAGAGCAAGTGCTTGTTTTGTGGTTTGAGTTTTAGCCATCTTTTGGGTGTTATACATTTTGTGTACATGATAACTTCATTTGATCCCCACCACCATTCATTGAATTATCCCCAACTTTGATTCTATACAATAAGACCCAATGAGATTAAAGTGCCCACAGTTCTAGAGCCTGCAGGAGCCAGATCAGGGACCAGATCAAGTCTGTGACAACAAAGCCCATTTTCTTTCCCTACATACTATAAATCCACCTCAGGGGTAAATAACCTGTGAACCCAGAATACCTTTAAGGACCATACACATTCCTTCCTTTTCTCTGTTTGGTCTGAGGATTTAGAGTGTCTTCTTTATCCCTGGCCAACCCCAAATGTTTCATGAGCCTTGACTGCATGTGGTGATAGAAAAAAGAGAAGGCCCAACCTTCCCATTTCCTCTCTACAGCAGAAATGAACTCACAACACTCTTCTCTGAGGTTTCGCTCTCCAATCCAGAGAGTATCTAAGCAAATTTTTAAGAGCCTTGCTGGTGGAGTCTATTTTTGGTTGTTTCAAACCAAACAAGCATGATTACATTGAAATATAAATGCCCCTGATAGGGTATTTTTTTGGTGGAAGCAGAAGATAGTGAAATGGAAATAAGATTATTTTCTGAGATTTCAATTCTTCAACCAACAAATTAGTTCTGGGCTGATACTGACAATATTTACCGGCAGGTAGGAAGCAGGTATTAATCAATGAGAATGAGCAGGTCCTGGATGCTTCTTTGTTGTGTCAGACATTACAAACCTATGAAGTGTTGAGTTGTAGAAAACTGTAGTAGGATAGTGGTGTGAAATGGGGAAGACTAATGCAGTGACTTTTATCACTTGTCAGAACATTTTTCAATAGTTTAAAAACTGTGTGCCCATAAAGGTGACACAAAAGTAGAACATCAGACCTGGGTATGCTTTCTAAAACATGATTAGACTATAATCTGACTGAATGCTTTTACCCATCAAGATGAATGTATTAAATATATAATCAACTAATCTATGTCAAAGGAGCAAAGAATATGTAATAGAACAGGATAGTTTCTTTAATAAATGGTGCTGGGCTGTTGGTGGGAGTGCAAACTGGTCCAACCACTATGGAAAGCTGTGTGGAGATTTCTGGACCTACTAAACATAGAGCTTCCACAGGATCCAGCAATTCCACTCCTAGGTATTTACCCAAAGGACACAGAAACATCAATTCCAAAGAGCACCTGCACCCCTATGTTTATAGCAGCACTGTTTACAATAGCTAAGCTTTGGAAACAGCCCAAATGCCCAAAAATAGATGACTGGATCAAGAAGATGTGGTACATCTATACCATGGAATATTACTCAGCATTCAAAAAAGATAAACACATGCAATTTGCAGCAACATGGATGACGCTGGAAGGGATCATGCTCAGTGAAATAAGCCAAAAAGAAAAAGAAAAATACCGGATGGTCTCACTCATAGCAGGGATCTAGAAAACTTAAATAAGGGACCAGGAAAATGAATAACTATAAGAAAGTGAAAATCAAAATCAACAAAAACTATGAACCAGAGACACTTTTTGGGGGGTAGGGGGCGGGAGGGGAGGGATTGGGGTCAGAATGGGGGGATTGCAATTGTATGGGGAATATAAAAATAAAATTTATTAATTAAAAAAATAAATAAATAAATAAATAAAAATAAATGGTGCTGGGAAAACTGAGCCCCCTTACATGCAAAAGAATAGAACTAGACTACTACCTCACACCATACCCAAAAACCAACTTAAAATGGATAAAAGACTTGGATATGAGACCTAAAACTATAAAATATATAGAAAAAAAACATAGGTAAAACATTCCATGACACATACTTCAGAGACATCTTTGAGGACTCATCTCCAGAAGCAAAGAAAATGAAGGAAAAGATAAACAGCTGGAACTATAGCAAACCAAAAAACTTCCATTCAGCA